AATAAAAAAAGATACAAAGGAACGATCATTTTGTATTTATATAAACAAAATAGGATAAATTTACAGCTACTTTCGCTTAATTCAAAGAGAAGAAAGAGGTGTTCTAACAGTGTTTGGACAGAATATCCTGTCTGCTTCTTGTACTATGGATAACCACTAAGAAGATAACAATGTACAATGTATTGATTATCAAAACTGTCCTATTAATCAGCTGTGAAAAAAAAATCAGCTGTGAAACTGTCTCATTCATATTTATTTCTCAATAAAAAAAATAAAAAAAAAAACCTAGAAATAAGAAGTCTGATTCACTGTCATCCTTCAAATGGTCAGTGAAAAGTAAACTATCACAGAGCACAGAGACTTGCATCTATTTGTGGTTCAGAGGATTCATCAGTATCAGAGAAATTACCAACTGCACAAGAACTTGCAGGACCTGAGAACCTGAGAGAAACAGTGGAATGCTGATCATTCTCTTGCCAAAGGACATGGAGAGTCACCCAGTCATTAGCTAGCAAGGCCTACTAGAAGCATAAAAATTAATATATTCACCCAAACACACATGTACATAGACAAGAGAATAGTAATATATTATAGTAACAGTGATTATTTATGAGTAGAAAGATTATAGGTAATTTATATTTTGGTTTTATTTATATTTTTTGAATTTTGTAGAATGAACAGATGCAACTTTATAATTAGAAAAAAGTATATGTATATGTGTGTGTAAATGAATATATGCTGATATATACATGAATACAATTTTGTAAAAAGGCAATGTACATGAATACAATTTTGTAAAAAGGCAATTATCATGTGAAAAAGGCAAACAGTAGAAACCTAGACAGACGGTGGAATGCTGAGGGCTCCTAGATTCCTACCCTGGGCCAAACTCTCATGCTGATATGGAAAGTTGGGAAAAGAAAGTAATGACAGGAAAAACTCAGAATTCAGAAAAACAGAAGACATTAAGCTAGAAATGGGAAAACAGTATCAGAAGAAGCTAGCAGGCGTGCGAGATAGCTCAGCGGACTAAGCCCATGTTTAGGCAAGCACAGAAACCAGGGTTCAATCCTTGGCACCACATGTGCTGCCGGCCCTGCCCCTAGGAATGCTGGGCTGGCCACTGAGACTGGGCGTTGTGGTGCATTCCTGTAATCCCAGCACTGGGTAGGCTGTGACAGAAGGATCACTATGAATCCAAGCTGTGTAGTGAGACACTGTACCAAATGACAGAGAGAGACAGAGAGAGACAGAGAGAGAGCGAGAGACAGAGACACAGAGAGAGAGAGAGAGCGAGTGAGCATGAGTGAGCAAGCTAGCAACTGCACAGGGAAAAAGAACACCACTGACTGGAAGTGAGATCATGAGCAACTCTTCTGCCCTTTCAGAGCCTGTAATCCCACTGTGAAAATAAGATTAAACTATATGATTCCTACTAGTTTTTCCAGCTTTAATCATTATTCCATTGTTTTATATGAAAATATTAATCCCATCACAGAAAAAATAATTTACCAAACATTCACTGACCATTTAACTGTGTCCTGAGCTGTGTCTGAAGGCACAGAAGTGCCTCCAGGCACAGGACCTTGCTTAACTCCCTTTAAGGAGAGATCACAGAGAGACCAACAGTAAGAAGTCAATAAAAAAAATTAAAAAAAATAAAAAAATAAAAAAAAAGAGGGAACACCCAGAAGGGAAGAAATAATGAAATGGTGGCAAGAGAAACATGTGGTACCTGGTACCCACAACATCAAAAATACTGGTACTCAGCATGGGAGATTCCCTCAAGCAGATCTACATGAAAAATGGACTGTAGAATTTAGAAGATGTTTGCTGAGTGTTAGATGTGATTACTGTTCTTACAATTATTATACTATTTTTTTGCTACTACAAACAGAGTATCTGTTGGGTCCAGGGTTAGTACTGTTCCAGACATCTTTGGGATTTAACAACATAAAAACATTTGGGTAGACTGATGAGCTAATTCAGGTGCTGGCAAACTATGGACCATAGGCACGTTGGCACACTTCCTGTTTCTGTAAATAAAGCTCTATTGAGCTGGCCTTAGTGGTATACGCCTATAATCTCAGTAGTTAGGAGGCTGAGCCAGGAGGACTGCCAGCAGTTCACAGCCAGCCAAGGCTACACTGTGTGTTCAAGGCTAGCCTGAACTACACAGGGAGATCCTGTCTAAAAACAAAAACAAAAATGAAACACACACACACAAACTTCATTGGAACGTATACGTCCACACACTCCAGTGATACTCAGTATGCACCACATGCTAAACTTATTAAAAACAAAGATGTCCAGAAGCTGAGTGTAGCAGCATATGCCTGTTGTGACAGCTACTTGTGAGGATGAGACAGGAGGGGCACTGGAGCCCACAAGTTTGAGACCAGCCTGAGCAATAGATCTAGGCCTATATTTCCCCCAAAAAAAAAGTGCTGACTGACACCTCTAGAGACTGTATGAAAATCAGTGAATGTACCTGAGTAAATATCAGAATAAAGGGGAACTTTAAAGTTTTCTCTTGACTAAATATATTTAATTACAGCCTCTGGAGATGATAGTTTTAGTCAAGCTCCCCAAGTGATTGATTCTGAAGCAGCCAGCAGTGTTTGAGGACTGCTGATAAAGAACAAGGATAATAATCATTTATTCCTGAAAAACAAAGTGAGAACAAACACCATATATATTCAAATGTTCCGTGTATACCTAAGGGGAGGGGAAAAGCAAAAAGGAAAAGACTGAGAAAAAAAAAAATTAAAGCAGAGATAGGAGAAATAGTAAAAAGTATATTTTGTGGGGAGTGGCAAAGTGACAGGCTGCCAATTTTGATCTAGACACGAGCACTAGACCACACAACAAACAAGAACTGGCTTAAAGCAGCAATGGGAAAGCAGCAACAGCAGAAATGGACAGCGTTGAGGAGGGCAAGGCACTGCTTTTCTGAGGATAAGGAGTCAAAGATGTGACTTGCCTGGGTACTATGGTTAAGCAAACACAAAGATTAGCCTAAGACCTTAGTAAGGAAACCTTATCATTACCAGAATATGAGAAAGTCAGTGAGTTCCACAGCCCAAAAGAAGGAATATACTTTGGATAAAAGTGTTACTGGAGGGCTGGCCAGGAAGCTCAGCAGACTAAAGCGCCTGCTTAGGCAGACTCAGGGAGCAGGGTTCAATCCCCAGTAGGCTGTGCCAGCCCCACCCCCGGGGTGCGCTGAGAAGGCCACTGAGAATGGGTATGGTGGTGTACACCTGTAATCCCAGTGCTTGGGGAGGCTGAAAAAAGGAGTATCACTATGAGTCCGATCTGTGTAGTGAGATTCTAAACACATTAAAAAAAATGTTACTGCAGCAGTGGCCCACCCCAACACCCACCAGCATCTTCCTGAGTACAACTCCAACAACTATCGAATTCCTCATTCTGAAAGGATCAAAGTCACTGTAAAACTTTAAAACACTTTGGCACATTCAGATAAAAGAACAAACTATGAATAAAGAGGGACAATAGACAATTCTGAAGTCTAATAAAAACAATCTACATACTTGTTATGTTATGGATTTTGTCAAAAGAATCAATAGTTCTTAATGAGCTTGTGTAATTCTTACCTTAGTCAAATTACTAACATGAGCGATTGTTTGAGTCAACTTAGTGCAGAGCACATTATACAACAGAGATGTAGATGATGAGCATATGGACTCTGTTGAAATCTCTAGTTCGCTTCCCAAACATGACAAGAGTTCTGCTGAAAGGCCAGCTGCTAAAGACGTACAAAGGAACACTACTCAGCTCAACATGTCCAGACCTGGGCTTTTCTCTGCACAGTTACTTTACCTTCTCTTGTTCAGCATGCAATACTCTTGCCTGTGTGTTTTCTGTGGCTGTTTGAAGTGAGTTGTTCCTCTTCTCCAACATCAGGTTACTCTGCTCAACATACCTATAAAAGAAGTAAGCCAAAAAAAAAAAAGAAAAGAAATAAGCCAAAAAAAAGCATTCATCGAGCACTGAATGTATGTAGGAGCAACCAGTGCACACTCAGTCCTTGTAACATTGCTCTACACCTTCATCAAAGCAATCCGAAAGCACTGTTTTCCTTAGAGCTGTAGTAATCATGTTTGGAGGTAGCAACCCAGATCAGAGGAGAACTGCTCTGCATAAGGGAAAGGAAAGAAGTTTGAAGGGTACGTGGTAAAGGAGGAATAACGGGGAAAAGAGAAGGAGACAGCTATAAAAAACAGGAAAGAAGAGGAAACTCTGTTCTCTGTCATATGGGAGATAGGAGGCACTGGGTAAGAGAAATAGGAGAATTTTTTAAAGTGTTATAATACTCTCCTGATCCCCAAATCTTTAGAAGGATCCATAAGAATCATAAAAAGCTTGGATTTTATACTGAAATCAGTGAGACTATCATTGGGTTCTGCCCAAAAAGAAGACAGAAGAGCTGCTGTCAGAATTTTCTAAGTAGAAACAGTATTTTAAAAGATGAGGAAATGAGGGATAAATGAAAAGATCAAAGCCAGCAATAAATGAGGGGCAGAGCCAGGAGTTAAGTTAGCCTTCTGAGCTCTTTTTACTGAAAAAGAAAATAAGTAATAATTTATAACAGGCAAAAAACCCAAACAGCAAAACATAGGGAGGCTTCGTGACACAAGCCCAATATCTCAGTACTGTTTTGAGCCTGAAGCAGCAGGTTAGACCCTGTCTCAGAATAAAAAGAGCCAGGACCATAACTTAAGTGAAGGACTCTGGGTTCAATCCCTAGTAACACTAAACAAAAACAAAACAAAAAGATAAAACAATTGGGACTGGAGGTACAGCTCAATGGTATTAACACATGTACACAGAAATATGCTGCCCTTTATAAACATGTGTATTAAACTGGGTATCTGCACATTTAAACCCTTTTATCTATCCTAGCCAGACCCCGTACCTGTCATTACCTCTGATTCCGTTCAATTAGCTCACTAATCTTGTCATTCTGTTCTTCTATCCGACTACTCTTCTCAAGGATCTCTTGCTTTAATCTTTCATTTTCCTAAATGCAAAGTACAGGACATACAAGGTAAGTATCTTAATGGAAAAGTGCCAAATAAAAGGCAATTAACTTGTGACACCGCTAACATATTTTAAATGATAAACTTGATCGTATGTCTCCAGAGATAGAACAGCTAAAGTAACACATCAAAATAAACTGTGGATAAAAGTCACTCCAATGGATTGTGTGTGTAAATGGCTATCAAATGAAGAAAAGTTCTGAAAATAGGGCCAAAAAGCAGTGTTTCCTTCTCACTACATGGCTAAGTCACTTAGACTAAAGCCACAATAGATGCTCCAGAACTTTGTCACCACATGCTCTGTTTCAGGGGTAGAGGTTTTAAAGGGTAGCTCACCTAGGAAGAGAGCAAGGCCAAACGCCATGCTCTTTAGCCGGCTCACCTGAATGATTCGCTGGATGTTGCTCATAATCAGGCTCGTTTCCATAGTAACTGACATGCTAGGCATAAGCATAGAATTGCCAGCACTATGCTTCTGTAATTCTTCAAACTACAAAAATGATGCAAGAGACCTTGTGAGAAAGCTTAAAAAGAGAAATGAGATTTACCCAAGATCCTACAGCTTTTTGAAAGGTTAAGTTTCTGAGGCAACTGTTAAATGTAGCTAGAGCTTTTTCCTGCTAAATGCTAGAGTTTTTTCCTGTTTTTCCCCCAAAATGATGACAACTGGGCTCCTAGGGAAATAACTATGACTCTGAATACAGGAAACCAAGCAAAAGTTTACCTAATGCCCTGTGTACAACCAGTTATACCCCATCTTTCAATATCATCTCAACCTTGACTTGGTTACCTTAGTCATAAGATGATCCATTTTATCAGCCACTTTGCTGACTGCCATTCGAACTTCAGTGTTGTGTTGACGGGCTTCAGTCATGAGAAATGAAGCCATGTCACCTGATCCTAAACAAACATAAGCCAAAAAAAATTTACACAACAGAAGCAGAGGAAACTATAGGATGAAACATCAATAGCTCTTCTACCAGAAGGAGGAAAAATACATCCTAGGAAATATCATAGGTGATTTTGCACTGTCAGGAGAAACGTAAAAGAGCTAATAAAGGAAAAGGGGTTCAGACTATAACTAAGCTGTGATCTAGAAAAATGAATTGAGGGCTATTGTCTGGTCCAAAGGCACCAGTATTCCCACTTCTAGACTGCTAAAGCCCTGGCAGCCTACTCTATTTCCTCATTCATCCAACGGCATGCCAGTCACTGTACAGCAGTGAATAAGTGAACACGGTTCCTGGCCTTGGTGGGCTCTCAGTGTGATGCAGAAGCTGACATGTAAACTCAATGAAGTACTTTAAATTCAAAAAAAGGACAATGTACAAAGTCCGAAAAGGTGAGACTCATTCACCACTGTGTCCCTGGGATGGACAGATGATGCCAGTCAGAGAATGATGGATGCAAAAGGGCTTTCCAGATGGAGAAGGGAGAGGGCTCCTGAGCAAAGGGTGTATCCAGGAAGCAATTACCATTCTGGAACCACAAGTCATGTTGTAGGATGTACCTGCTTCTTCCTGCCACAATTCGAATACTAAAGGGATTGCTAAGCAAAAGACAAACTGCAGAACAAAATACCATCATCACAGATATTTACATTTTTTTTTTTTTTTTTTGCAGTTATTCCTACATGATACCCACCTTGTATGCACACAAAATAGCAGAAAGGTCACCAAAGTAAATGTTAACAATGGCTTCCTATGATCAAGGGGCATTAATGATTTGGAAAGAAAGTAACTCTTTATACTCCTTTGAATTGTTTGAAATTTTAACATTTTTATCATAATTAAAAGTTTTAACAAAGTAGTTTTCATTGAGCTACTCAACACTCACAAGCAGGTTTCATGCTTTCTCTCTATAAATTGTAGCTACCCTGACAGGAGTTAAAAGGGCTGGTAAGAGAAAATGCAAGGAAAAAACAAATGGGCATAAAGAAACTTTTGAAGATAATAGAAATGTTCTAAGAATGGGCTGTGGTAATGAGTATACAGTTCTCCAAATTTCCTTAAAAATCTTTAGTCTATGTATCTAAAATGACAGAATTGTATGGCACGTTCCAAAAAGAAAAGGTAGAGAGCTACCAGGTACAAACAAATACAGGATGGAGAAAGGACAGTACAGTGAGGGTGGAAGACAAGAGAAGAGAGAATCACTCCATACCTTGAAAATGGGGAGGCTGGGACAGTGGTGCTGGGTACAACGGCCGAACAGACTGCAGCTGTGAGGTTACTGAGGATGCCTGAGGATACGTGTAGGCTTGCATAACTGCATAGGGCTGAGGGGGAGCCAAGCTACCGGTACCTACAAAATCTTCTTGTCTTTCTTTATGCCTTGCGCTTTCCTATGGTAGGATAAAGTAGACAAATGATAAGGAGACTCACACCCACTGAAGTTGGAGAAGGATAAGATTGGGGTTAGGCAGGGGTAACAAGTGCACCAGTAATCTGGAGGACCCAGGGGTTACTATCAGGAAGTCCGGCCCAGAAATTGAGGGATGATGTCATAGCTCACTACGCAGTCCTCCAGTAATAAGCATCAATGAAGTAGGATTAGGTCCCCACCCTTGGGGCCTACTGTTTTAAGAATTTTTAAACTAAGAAAACTCTCCTTAGTTTCTACTGAGGCAAAAAGATACTCTCACTGAGGTTCCAAGACAAATCATCCAGTTTCCAAAGGCTGCCTCTCCCTTCCTAGTCTGTGATGCTTATCTGTGTGACCAAGAACTCTTTTCTCTGAACCCATCACCTCAACTGTAAAATGGAGACAATAATATCACTCTGTACCATTATACTGACCAAATAAAGCGATATAGTTTAAGTTCTTAACAACTAGTAAACAGACTGCCTAAAAGATAGTACATAATAGCTGCTATCATTTTAATGAGGGCAGTTATTCGTCCCCAAAATATAGAAAGCCAACCCATTTCCAAGAACAGATACAATGCTTTATCTATTGTTTAAAGAAGAACAACAAAATCTATATTTGACAATGGAGTAGGACTTTTCGGTTTTGATGCCCCCTAACCTAACAGAGTACAGCCTCCCAGTATCACTCCCACCCCTCCATCTAGAATTGCCAAGGAAGGCTCTGATGTCACTGAGTGTACATCTTACTCATCAGGGCAGAAGAAAGAATCCACTGTCCTAGCAAACAGGAGAGGCAAACAGGCTACTTCCACTATCTTCTGTGGCAACAGAAAAAAATAAAAACCTAAAAATCGTACTTCAAGAGATCACTTTCGGATCACACTGGAATCCGGCTGTATTTTCTATTCAGCCTTCACCCTCAACTGAAAGACATCCTGGCCAGTACCATGCAGAATACTACCCTACCAACTGTGAGAAAAGAACACAGAAGATGTGAGTGTATATGCCTCACCTAGATATGTATGAAAAGGAAAGGAAATGTGCTGAGAGCTGATGAAGTTGGGAATAGGTCAAATATGTAAGAGCAGGACTAGGCCTCCCTGACTAAATCTATCAAGCTACCTCAGTCCCAAGAGAAGCATCCAGCCTGGTCAATGTCAGCTATTAGTTACTGGGCAACCTTGTCACATGATATGAAATTGGCACAGGCATAAATAAACCCCCCTACTCAGGCCACCACCTGACCCAGCTCTTGTCTATCTGTTCCTCATTCCTGCCACTGTTTCTCCCGGTGGAGTCCAAAGGATCCCTACCAAAATACACTGATTGGACCTTTGCTAGGTGCCAGACCCAGGCCTAGGCCTTAATTTTCACATCTTATAAAGCAAGTAATTCTTTGTCTGGTTTAGAAATAACCAAGTTGTGATTCAAGAAAGGAAGAAAAAAATTACAAACTCTGACTTTAGGAGACAGCTACTATGTGAAAAGGAAAGAAATAATCTTCCTACAGGTGTGCAGGAAGGAGAAAAGAGACTCACTAGAATCATAATGAATTATAATTTATAATTACTATAATGTTTTAAAATGTTGTTACCTGAAAGGACTGGGTATTTCCAGACACAGCTGAATGGGAATCAAGAGATGCAACTTGCACCAAGGCATCAGTGAGTGCTTGGAGCTGAGAAACAGATGGCTGAGGTGCTAGGATAAAGCAAAACATTTCTACTGTTAGCCATCTTTGTTTCTTTTTTTGCGGAACTGGGGATTGAACTCAAGCCCTTGTGCTTGCCAGGCAAGTGCTTATTCTACTAAGCTGTCTCCCCAGCCCCATCCTTGTTTCTTGGTATGAGTCTAGACTAGCACTTTAAAGACCCCTGTGCTTCAAACCCACTTTCCTTACACTACCTCCTAAAACCAACTACACTGGTGTTCCGGGAATGGGCCAGTGGAAGGAAACTAGGTGTTCTCACGTGTATCTGCCTCAGGTCTGTGATCCCATCAGCTGACAGGAAGTACAGAATAATATACAGGGAGATGTCTCAAGTAGCTGAGTTCACATGTCTAAAACTGGTAATGTGACACAGCAGAAGTCATAATAAACAGACCAAATGCATCTCTAGGTAGGAAAATGCCCTACACAGGGGCAAACTGATTGAGTTAGGTACCTCGTCCAGCCTTTAATACTAAAATAACAGTATAAGGAACACTGATCACTGATGATTGTTTTGGTACTGACCCAATTCATAGACACAGAACCTCAAGATGTTTCTCTTCTTACCTTGTGAGGACATCTGTGGTAACACTGGATGGGTGGCTCGCTGAAGAGAGGGCTGGGTAGGTGGCACCACCAGGGGCTGCCCAGGTCCTCGAAGAGCATTCACATCCTGAAACAGGCAAAAGGCTTTAACTACATTGGGAGTCCTTAGCTGAAAGCTAGAGCTGACCGTCTACTTTTAGCCTGCTTCCAAAAGAATGTTTTCAGTACAGGAGACAGGAAAAGCTTTCTGCTTAGAAAGCTAAGATTTGAGGGTGTGGGTTGTGGAGAAGAACTACTCAATTATGCAATACAGCAAAAAGTGCTTCCCCATGGAAATCATAAATAACTGAATACAGTTGATTTCCACAAATGTTCTAATATTTTCTTGTCTGAAACAGCCAATGAGTAGTTCTCTGTAATGCATCATTTCCCAAACCAGCTGCCACCTTAAGACTGACCTAATCTATTCCCACAAAAGAAGAGCTCTCTCAAGGAACCATGAATGACTGAACCTTTCCTCTCCCTCCAAATCATCTCCACAGGCTTCAAAGCATCCAGTAAAAATCAGATACAGTGGTTTCACAGCACCTCATTAATCACGATAATGCTTAAAGTATCAGTTTGGTTAATACAGCTTTAGAGTGTTTCCCGTTCTTTCTTTTTATGAAATCCAAACTTTACTCAAAATCAAAACTAAATAGAGTCATCTCTATCTTCACACTTTATACAAAGAACAGAGCATCTTGAGGCACAATATACAGTGACTGTAATATTTTTGCTATAATGGTTCAAGGGCTGAACTCTCTTGGTCATTCTTTTACTTCAGAACTTCCTCTCATCTCAGATGTTTTCTGGAAAAACATCTCCACTTTACGTCATTATTGCTCAACATCAACCTAAATGTTTAACAACAGAGTAGAAGGCTGTGATAAATCAACATAGAACGCTGAGTTACTTTTAAAAAGAGTATTTTGTTTAATTATTTGACCTATTGATATTAACATAAATGTGTATAACAGTTAAAAATTCTGGTTACAAAGCAATATATAAAAACACCCGGGGCCAGGGAGATGGCTCAGTGGAATAAGCACTTCCCCAGCAAGCGCAAGGGCCTGAGTTCAATACCCGGTTCCGCAAAAAAAAAAAAAAAAAAAGATTTAAAAACACCCTTTTCATGAAATATGATTCTTATTTATAATGCAGAATTATTTTACAAATAGCACTTCAAATTTTTGTTAAGAACACTATACTATTCAACTTTTGTTTCAGGGTTCAAACAAACAATAATAAAATAAAAGGTCTTAGAAATACTGTCTTCCTTTAAAATGTTAAGTCTACTTAGATCTTATTCAAAAGGAAATAAGACAAAATTATAAAAAACAAAGGCTATTTAAAAAAAAATTGGGGGCTGGGGAGATGGCTCAGTAGAATAAAAGCTTCCCTGGCAAGCACAATGGCCTGAGTTCAATCCTCGGTTCTGCCAGAAATAAAAAATAAAAATAATAAACAATAAATAAAAAAAAATTAAGAGCAACATCTTAATTTTATATTAAAGAAAGTCTTAAAAGTCAATCTTTCTCATGTATTCAATTAAGAAAGTGTGGATTTATTCAATAAGGTACTAACCATCAGGAAAAGAATTAAGTTAAAATTGAGTTACTTCGTGGGGCCAGGGAGATAACTCAGTAAAATAAGTACTTGCCTCGTAAGCACAGGGTCCTGAGTTCAATCCCCCGTACCACAAAAAAAAAAAAAAAAAAAAAAAAAAATTGCTCAGGGATGGGGATATAGCTCAGTGGAATAAGCACTTCCCTGGCAAATGCAAGAGTCTGAGTTCAATCCCTGGTTCTGCCAAAAAAAATTAAATTAAGTTACTTCATATGATACACCAAATAGTAGAAGAATTAAAAATTTAGATCTTGGGCTGGCGAGATAGCTCAGTGGAATAAGTGCATGCTTAGGCAAGCACAGGAACCGAGGTTTGATTCCTGGCACCACAGGTTGCCCCAGCTCTGAACCCAGGTGCACTGGGCCAGCCACAGAGACCAGGTATGGTGGCATACACTTGTAATCTCAGTGCTGGGGCAGCTGAAAACAGGAGGATCACTAGGAGTCCAAGCTGTGTAGTGAGACCCTGTACCACATACATACATACATACATACATACATACATACAAATAAATATTTAGACCTTAATATGAAAAACTTTCTAAAAGGTACATGTGAAAAATGCACATATTTTCTAATATCTGAAAGTGGGACAGCTTTCTAGGTGCAATGTCAAAAGCAAAAGAACAAGGGAAGAAACATTTAATTTCAATAAAAGTCTTAAACTTCTAATTAAAAACAAAAAGTACCATACGCACAAAGTTAAGAGACACAACAGTTTGATCTTTAAATGGTAAGAAACAACACTGGGAAAACCAACACTAACCAAAAAGATCTAAATGTTCAATCAGCAAGTATGAATTGGGCATCCTGCTGCCTAATGACTGATATTTAATATTTGACAAGATTTTACTGAATGAAGATTAACTTAACTACTTTAAACTGCCCATTTCTTTTGGTAGCTATATGGAATTACTTCTGTTTTTTCAGGGAAAAGCTAATTACAGTAGAAACATATACAACAATATTGATTTCTGAAATTTTGCACAAAAGCCTTCTAAATAATTGCTCTGAGTTTCAAGTCAGAAAAAAGTCATTTAAATGAAAGGAACAAAAGATGGCAGCATTTGTGCTCCTTATTCTAACACGGCAAGGGGCACATACTTCAGTTTCTGAGTCATTGGAATCCAGCTGTGGTGGAAGGATGGGCAGCATGGGCTGGCCCATTTTAGCCATCCGAGAGATCAACTTGGCCTTGGCAGTATCAGGACTCTATAAAAGAAAGTCACACAAATCATTTTCATTAAGGTTCATAGCCTTCAGGCAGCTCTCTCTTTCTTTGGCTCTCGTATCAAATCCTCTTCAAGTCCCCTACCATATCTCTTTGAAACCATTTTGCCTAAAAATTGAAAATTAATGATGTCTTGCACAGAAGCATATAATTAATTACAGCAGTAAAAGTAATTCCCTACTTGTTTGGAACACAATGGCTTTATATGTATTATCTCTTCATTATTTCTTTAAGTCTCCCCACTGGGCATAATTATTCTCACTTTGCAAATGAAAAACTGTTGGAGATCCAAGCTACACAAGGTTAAGTTGCTGAATACAGGGACCTCTGGCTGTGATGGAAAAAAAGCATATGCACAGTGCTCTGAAGTCAAGATAAACATCACAGCTGAAGCAGACAAGGACATGGGCTGCTGACACCCCCTGTTCCACAGCAATAACACTGCCAACCTGAGAGATAAGATAGTTTTTTAATTAGCAAAATTTACTGCTTTGAGAGAAGTCTTTGTACTGACTCCCAAGGTCCTGCTCAGTACCCCTTTCCTTTATTTAAAATCAAATAAACAGGGCTGCTCAGAAAAGTTCGTCTCTACTCCCAGAGAGTCGCCAAGTCCCTGAGCAAATTTTGACTTTCCTGGGTGCTCCAAAATCACAATTCTAATCTCTTTTACATAATCTGTTCATCATTCACTTGTTTAGAAAATTGGGGCTAGGTCAAGATCCTGATAAAAAACTAAGGCAGAGATGGTAGGGGAAGAGGCATTTTTGGAGAGAATCCTCTCAAAAGCCTGAAGCAATTCAGTAGGTAGATACTCAGAAGACATTTATGGAGAGAAGGATACAGGAGCTCTTTGTTCTAACTTGGGTTTCATTTAACTCTGACTTAACATGGGCCACACACTAGGCTCTATGCTAGAAGCTTCTTTATCAACTGGTCCAAACAGTCTTCAAAGTGAGAGTACATGACCCTAAAGGTGCACAAGATGATCTTGTCGGTGCAGAAAGAAATGATCATTTCCTCCACCTGTAGTATTTTTCAGCTATCAACATAAAACATTGTTTGTTTACAGGGATTACAACTATATAACTTGTCAACAGATGTACCTGGCAGTCTATGTATATTGTTTTCTTAACTGATGGATGTACATAATTAAAAGAAGTTGGATACATCAAGAGAGGGAGACTAGACTAATTATATAAACCACATTCACACAAAGAAATATGACCTACAGATTATAGAAAGATTAAGATTAAAAAAATAAAAAAGAAAGATTAAGATCACTCTCTACACACTAAGATGAACAGATACCGTATATATCTATACAGCTATATATAAAAAGCAAGGTACATAATATATATAGCATGCTATTTTGTGTGGGAAAGGAGGGAACATGAAAATATACATTCCTATTTGCTTGCACCTGCATAGATACACTGAACAACTGAAAGTAGTTACCTCATGGGTATGAGATGGAATATGGTGGGTAGGAACAGGAATAAGAATGAGAAGTTAAATATATTTGTTATAATACACTGATAATTGTACTATATAAACATAATACCTATTTAAAACAAAAAAATAAAAACTAAAAAGAGCAAAATGATTTAAAAAAAAAAAAAAAAAGACTTGGGAAATCCTTACAACCTACCTGAAGATACTGATGCTCAGAAATAGGTGGCAAGAGGAGCTATGAATGGAGTAGAACAAAACCCATATTGGACAGTTTTTATAACTAAGATTACAATTATTTTAGTTTTCTTCTGATTCTTTAACTGAACTAACTGGGTTTAGGAGGTTTAACACATCTCAGATAATTATATGCTGTGTGATTTCTGCTTTCGGCTAAATACAAACAGGTGAACTAGGATTGGAGTGAAATGAAGCATCAACTTCACTCAGTGTTCCTATTGCTTCCCAGTGTGGCATATGAAGGCCACAGGGCTTCAGAATTGAAGTGCCATAGCCACCACGTGGTCCACACACAACACACTTGACTCTTCCCAAACAGGGAGGATTGCAGTAAAACACCCTATCTATCCTTCCTAAAAACAGTTCTTACTAAACAGTACACTATTTCATAAAATAAAAACAAAAACAAAAACAAAAAAACAGTATGCTGTTCCTTCCATCTCACAATTGGGCAAATACAAAAGTCCAATGACCTACTCAAAGACAGTTAGTTGGTGAATTTAATTTCAAATTCCTCTGAGCCAAGAAAAGTTTGAAGGAGATATGTAGCATTAGCAATAATTATAACAACAAGGGCTAATATGTATTGAACTTTTACAATATGCCAGACACAATAATAAAAACTCATAAGCACTAGTTCATTTAAAATTCATAAACACATCTGAGACCAGTAACTATTTCTACTTTACAGACGAGGAAAACAAAGAGATTACATAAGTTAAAGCTGCTTAAAATAGCAGAGAAAACTGAGGATTAACCACTAACATACTCTTGGAACAATATTTTTTAAATCAAAGTTCCTTTAGCTGTAGGGCTTCTCCCCAACATAATGTCATTCTCCTAATAACATGTAATCATAGCTACCACTTTTAAAGCTACCATATTTTACACAGGCTCTGAACTTAGAGCTTACAAATATCTCTTATTTGGACAAAAATTGTAATAGAGGGTTTTAAAAATTATTTCCATTCTATGACAACCCACTCAGAACCTCTCCTATCTCTCAGGAGATATTCTTTTCCCCATTCCTATTTCCTATTCCTTTTCTTCAATGAATTTTTCTACACTTAATTTTTAAAATTTCCATCCTAACAACAAAGAAGCTAAAGATCTGACAAATGAGATAATTTTCTCAAGAACTGCCTATGTGAAAGTTAGGTTAACTTACACTTATAGGAACCATTGATTTCTAGGTAAATTGAGTATTTGTAATTTTTTTTTTTGTCCTCTAACCCACTATCTTTCAGGCATCTGAAACCTAAGCACACTGGGGGAAGGACAACAGATTCTTATACTCACTGAGTTCACTGTAAGCTGTTCATTCAGGGAGTTAGACTTGGCTCGAAGAGCTGGTTCTCTAAAAGAAAGAGGTATCTTGAGATAAAAACAAAATCCACAACCACAAACCTAGATTATGCTGGGTGAACAAACTGTTTTTGAAAATGTTCACGTCTTTAGTTTGCATAATCTTTGAATCCTGGTGCAGATAAATGTTTGTTTTTCTTTTTATGTACACTCTTGAAAAAATATACATTTTTTGCTCAATTTTTTCCCATTATTTTGTAAGTGTTCTTATGTGAGTTAGTGGTTTTACAGACCATGAATATTTATTCTTTATCAGAAATACTTTTCCCATTTCCCTGATTCTACTTTTCTCCAGTTATTTAAAATTACTATAGTTCAGTCTTTCTTCTGAAGCCCTCCATGAATCACTTTTACAAACAATGAAAGGGCTTGGTATCAGGCCAGTGACTTACCCTGATCTGAAAGGCACTGACGTGGGTGGTGACACAAAAGGATCCGCAGCATGGCTGTCAGCACCAGGTGTGGGAGAAGGGGCTGCAGAGTCCCGGGAATTAACACCATGCCCATCACAGCCAGAATCTCTGGCAAACTTCACCTGCAGAAAGAGCCAGCACAGGTAAAACAGGCTATAAATAACCTTTCCCATCCTCAGGCCTCTCATTTTACTTATTCTTTATCATACAAACCATCACCTGTTCATTGCAGGCAAATCAGAAAAGTTAAAAAAAAGGAAAAGGAAATGGTCACTTGGGATTCAGGCACCATTATCTGTATATGTACATACATGTATTTTTCTTTTTACAAATGAGTCATCCTATTTTGTAACCTGCTTCTGCATTCACTGACATACTAACATACTTCTGTCACTAAATATTAATTGTCAACATTATTTTTACTATCGAAGCATATGTCTGCCTCTAAGGGTCATGTGCTTTGCTGCTATGATCTACAGGGAAGTCTCCAGAGTGTGTTTAAAATAGAAGCAATAAATATCTATGGCATTACAAAATATAGTTCACCAATTCCTGTTATATAGCTTAGCTTATATAAATAATGCTTCTATGAATAGCTTTTTATCTACATCTTTCAAATAATTTAAAAAATTTCCAAAGTAGAAATTTCAAGAAGTGCACCTATGATCCCAGCTACCTGGGAAGCCAAAGCTGAGAATGGGGGATCACAAATTTAAGATCAGCTTGGGCAATTTAGGGAGATTCTGTCTCAAAAAAACAGAGCCAGGCATGGTGGCCCACATCTGTAATCTTCGTAACAGGGAGACTGAAGTAGGAAGATCACTGTCAGTTCAAAGTCAGCCTAGGATACATAATGAATTCAAGACCAGCCTGAACTGCAGTGAGACCCTGTATCAGAAAACTAAAATAAATCATTTTTTAAAAATTCAAAATCACTGAGCATGGTCGCACATGCTGGAAGTTGAGGCAGGAGGACTGCTGTGACTTTTAGGCCAGACTGGGCTACCTAGGGAGTTCCCAGACTGGCCTAAACTACACAGCAAGACCCTGCCTCAAAGAGAAAGAAAAAGAGAGAGGGAGGGAGGGAAGGAAAGAAGGAGGGAAGGAAGTAGGGAGGGAAGAGAAAGGCAGATAGGTAGGTTGTTAGGTCTGGAGGCATTGCTCATAGGTAGAGTGCCCTGGGGCTTAGTTTCCAGTACGAAAAAGAAAAAAAAGTTTGACCATTTAACTTCATTTTCAATTTCATCAGCTTGAGAGCTACCCGGGAAATTAGCAAAACACACTTGTGGGTTTGTCCGGTGCTCGATGCTTTAAGGTCTACATCGCATCTGGTCACTGACCTCTTCCTCTCTGGTGCTGTTCCTCTATTCTGCTGCCAAACAGCCACCGCGAACTAAACAGCTTTGCTCTACTCGGCCCTTATTCTACGATGTTCCCGCCTAGGAGCCGGCCAATCATGAACTCAGTCTTGTGAAACTGTGAGCCAGGTATTGGCCAGCAAGCGCAGTGCGCTCTGGGAGCCCAGCAGAGGCGGAAGGACCTGCTCGAGCCCTCCTCCTGGGGGCGACGCCCCTCCCCCATCTACTGGCACAGAACGAAGGAAGCGGTTTGTTGTCGTTAAGTCTCCGGGATTTAAGGTTAACCTTTTAATACTAAAAGGGGAAATGCAGCCGTGAATGAAGAAAACATGGATGGAACAAATGAATGCAGTAAAGGTCGAACTGGTACGCAGAATGAAGCAGCACTGCTTGCTTTAATGGAAAAAACTGGGTATAATATGGTTCAGGAAAACGGACAGAGGAAATTTGGTGGTCCTCCTCCAGGTTGGGAAGGTCCACCTCCACCTAGAGGCTGTGAAGTTTTTGTAGGAAAAATACCTCGTGATATGTATGAAGATGAGTTAGTTCCTGTATTTGAACGAGCTGGGAAGATATATGAATTTCGACTTATGATGGAGTTTAGTGGTGAAAACAGAGGTTATGCATTTGTGATGTATACTACAAAAGAAGAAGCCCAGTTGGCCATAAGAATTCTTAATAATTATGAGATTCGACAAGGGAAGTTTATCGGTGTGTGTGTGAGCTTGGACAACTGCAGATTATTTATTGGAGCTATTCCAAAGGAAAAGAAGAAAGAAGAAATTCTGGAAGAAATGAAGAGGGTTACAGAAGGAGTTGTAGATGTCATTGTTTATCCAAGTGCGACTGATAAGACCAAAAATCGCGGGTTTGCTTTTGTTGAATATGAATCTCACAGAGCCGCTGCTATGGCTAGAAGAAAATTAATCCCAGGAACATTCCAGCTGTGGGGCCATACCATTCAGGTCGACTGGGCTGATCCAGAGAAAGAGGTTGATGAGGAAACTATGCAAAGAGTTAAAGTTCTCTATGTGAGAAATTTAATGATCTCAACTACAGAAGAAACAATTAAAGCAGAATTCAACAGGCACAAACCTGGTACAGTTGAACGAGTAAAAAAACTTAGAGATTATGCTTTTGTCCACTTTTTCAACCGAGAAGATGCTGTAGTTGCTATGTCTGTTATGAATGGAAAGTGCATTGATGGAGCAAGTATTGAGGTAACACTTGCAAAACCAGTAAATAAAGAAAATACTTGGCGGCAGCATCTTAATGGTCAGATAAGCCCCAGTCCTGAAAACTTGGTTGTGTACGCTAACAAAGAAGAGAGCCATCCAAAAACTCTAGGCAAGTCACCAGCTCTTCCTGCTCTTCTCAATGCACAACATAGCCCAAGCCCTCCTGAAATTGAAAGATGCACTTATCCCTTTTTTCCTGGGACAAAGCTTACTCCAATTAGTATGTATTCTTTAAAGTCCAATCATTTTAATTCTGCAGTAATGCACTTGGATTATTACTGCAACAAAAATAACTGGTCACCACCAGAATATTATTTATATTCAACAACCAGCCCAGATGGAAAAGTAGTCTTGGTATACAAAATAGTTATTCCCGCTATCACAAATGGCTCCCAGAGTTACTTCATGCCAGACAAACTCTGCTCTACATTAGAAGATGCAAAGGAACTGGCAGCCCAGTTTACATTACTTCATTTGGACAGAGAACACAATCTCTTCAGCCTGGACCTGTGTAGAAGAATTTGGAGACAATAAGCAGGTCCTTTCTGACGTTGCTTGAACTTACTCTCCTGCAGTTATCTCATTCTTATTGGCTAAAAATAATGCTTATGTGTTACAGGTCTACTTTATGGTACCAGGACAGTATTACAGAGAAAATAATTCTCTTATCTGTACAATAAATGACCTAATTTCTCTCCTTCCATTCCTTAAAACACCCTAAGTTTTATAAGTAACCACTTTATAGTCATTGTCATACCTTTGACTTACTTTACACTAAAGAACATAGTTGAATTTTTGAAAAGTACAAGATTTACCAATTTGGTCTTTAATACATAATTATTATAGTTAAAGCAGGAAATTATTGGTACATATGAATGTAAATTGTAGAAAAATAATATTTTGAATATAATTATTTTTAATAATTTGTTTTAATTTTTGAATATTTTTCTATACAAGTTGATAGTGATTTCTTAAACTTTGTCCTAAAGATGATTCATTTTACTGTTTTGTGGTACCAATGGTACTCTTACTACTAACCTGGTACATAAAATCATATAAATGTTTGCATTAGCATTTAAACAATACTGTATTTAATAATAATAAGTTAGTTTATGGCAAATATTTGTGCAGATTTGATGGCTAATAGTTTTCTAAAAAGTAACTATGAATTGTTATTTTTTCTTCATGAACTACCTTTCAATGTTATAAGCAAATTTAAAAGAAGACGCTTTGTGGAGCAAGAGAAACTTCCTCTCTCTATGTTAAAAAAGTACCAAGAACACATTGTAACAAGATCTCTGAAGCATTGTGTCAGTGAAGGAAAACAACGCTGACTTGATAAAACTATGAAGATTTGCAATGCGGTATACATAGCAGTAATCTTTACCAGTATCAAGATTTTGAATCTTAGAATGTTATGTTAAAATGTGATTATAGTTTAATGCTTTGTCTCTTTAAATGAAACTTATGTCCATAAAGATGTGCAGTGTAATTGTCCCTGTATTTATTTAGAGACTACAGTTTCCATTGCAGCTCAATAAACAGCTTTTGACCTGTTGGTGCTCCCTTCTCTTCTGGGATTCTCAGTGTGCTTCCTTATTCTTTAAGGCATTATATCTTTATCAAAGTTTTCCCTGGTCACCAATAATATCTCTTGCTACTTGAAGCTGTATTAGACAATGACTATGTATCGTTAATCAGGCCTCATTCCTGTACAGAAAAGCTGTGAACACTAGTATGAACATTATTTGGTGTAAAGCATAAAGAAAAAGTGTTTTAGGGGTCTGAAGAGATAGCTCAGAGATATAAGCACCAGCCTGGCAAGCGCAAGGTCCTGAGTTCGATCCCCATTCCAAAACATAAAATACTATTTTATTTTAGAATCAGATTTGCACATTTGGTTTTAAAAATAATATATGCCAACATACTAAACATCAGCTATAATTCAGATTAACAGAACTGTAGAATTTATAAAAATGCAATGATTGAAAAGTTATTCATTAGTTTAGCAAACTGCTACTCTTTTTAAACTTTGAATTTTCTTGTAATACCTGAGTGGGTAATAGATCCCAGTAGTTTATTTTTCATGTTACTATCTTTGCAAAATACAAATATTAAGCCACTGAAAAGAAGTTATGCTAAATTTGATAACCAAGGATCATTATCTCTATTGGAGACTGAAACAATTTTACATTAGGTAGGAAGAAATAATGATACAGAAAGATTATAAAGTGCATAGGCAAATGTCATGCAATACAAAAGACAATAGAACCTACCATTATGGTCACTGAAAATAGCTATAAATATTTCAGTCAATTATTTGTTACAGAAATATTATCTAAGTTGCTTTTAAGTAAGATATACTTAAAGTTTTTATAGTTATGCTCCACTTGTGTTCTTAATATTCACTGTATTTGAATAAGTGTTAAGACTTTTAATGCTGAAATTGTGCTGATTTTTTTACTTGAATTTGAACTCAGACATTAAATTTGTGATGGTTTTAGAAAAAAGAAAGATGGGCTGGGGAGATGGCTCAGTGGAATAAGCGCTTGCCTACCAAGCACAAGGGCCTGAGTTCAATCACCGGTTCCGAAAAAAAAAAAAAAAGAAAGAAAGAAAGAAAGAAAGAAAGAAAGAAAGAAAGAAAGAAAGAAAGAAAGAAAGAAAGAAAGAAGAGACTGTGAGCCAAATAAAACACTGGTTTAAGTTGTGTCAGGTAAAGCTGACCAACATAAGAGGTATGCTGATTTCCAAGACTTCTAATATAATCTTAAATTTCCCACCGTAAGGCCTAAAGCAGGAGCTCACATGTGTAACAGCAGCACTTAGGAGTTGATAAGGCGGGAAGGTTGTAATTCTGAGGGAAGCCTGGACTATCAAATGAGACTCTTATCTCAAAACATAAAAGCAACAAGAAGTTCCTACCAGAAAGAATGAGCTAAACTGGATATAGTGGCACACACCTGTACTCCCAGCACTCAGGAGGCTGAGGCAGGAGGACCACTGTGAGTTCAAAACCAGCCTGGACTACACAGCAAGACCCTGTCTCAAAAGTGAGCTAGTTTATATACTCCAAGTAGTGCATAAATCGTCCTTAACACTCATGCTATACTAGAGGCTGTCACGTTCTACCAGCCTTGTCAACATTAATATGATGTCAAACTAATTATCTGAATACTGGTAAAATAGTTTTTTTTTTTTCCTTATGTTTACAAAATGCTAGGGGAAAGAGAGGGAGGGAGGGAGGAAGAGACAAAGGGAGGAAGAGATCCTTTCTCCTATCCAAGCAGGATTAATAGCCACATGAAAAAAATGACCATATTTGTTATCTGTATTGTCTTTTTAGTTTACAGTCATAAATACTATCACATTCAAACCAAAAAGCAAAGTCACTCTGGGAAGAGGAGGTATTCATCAGAATTTTTTTTTTATTTTTAATAGAAATTATACAAGTTTATGACTTTTCTGTTTAATTTACGTACCTTGTACAGAGTCTCACTACACAGCTCGGACTCAGAGTGATCCTCCTGTTTTCGGCCTCCCAAGTGCTGGGATTACAGGAGTGCACTACCAGGCCCAGTCTTTGTGGGTGGCACGAAATGCAGTACTGGGGATTGAACTCGAGTCCCTGAGCTTGCCTAAGTGAGCACTTAGTCCACTGAGCTATTTGGCCAGCGCATGACAACACTTTTAAATGGTACAAAAAGATGGGATATGAAAAAGTTTCTGAACTCTATTTCCATTTTCCAATTTAGAGAAAAACTTTCAATCATTTCTTTTGATGTTTCTAAGGCCAGGAATGGTGGTACCTGCCAGTAATCACAGCACTTAGGAGACTGAGGGAGGAGAGCTGCTGTGAGTTCAACACCAGCCTGAATTACATAGTAAGGCTCTGTTACACACACACAACAAAACCAAACCAACCAAAAAAGCTTCCAGAAATTTTCTATAAATATGTGGTCATGGATCATATACATGTATGACTGTTTGTATACATATATGTGTATATATGTGTGCGTATGTGTGTATACATACACACAAAGAGACCATGCTATCCCTATTGTTCTGCCACTTGTTTCTTTCACTTAACAACAAATTATGCATTTTCTTTTCATAGGACTACAGCTTGAATCAGGACCTTGGGTCTGTTAGGCAAGTACTCCACCACTGAGCTACATTCCCACCCCTTCTTATAAAGTTTTTATTTTGAAACAGGGTCTAAGTTGTGCAGGTTGGCCTCATATTTTTCAGTCCTCCTACTTTAACCTCTGGAATAGCTGGGATTACAGGAATTCACCACCATGTCCAACTTAGTTTATGTATATCCTTTAGGGTTACATAAAGATACACTCTTAAAATAGATAACCTAACCAACGCTTAGGTTATTTCCAGTTTTCTACTATTATAAACAATTAGCAGAAAAAATAAAATATACACATGATATATATCTTCACATATTTATGTCAATGCATCAATAGGACTGATTTTTTTTGTTTTTGTATTTTAGGGAAGGGCCTACAGGGTATTCAGGGTCTCACTACTAGATTGGACTCATAGTGATCCACCTGTTTACAGCCTCCCAAGTGCTGGGACTACAGGTATGTGCCACCATGCCCAGTCTCAACTGCCGTCTCAGAGTGCTTACAGGTGCTTTAATCCACTGAGCTATTT